TTTAGTAATTGGAGGACCAATTTAATTCTCGCGGAATCCTTTTTAGCGGTTCTCAAATTTTAGTAATTGGAGGACCACTTTAATTCTCGCGGAATACTTTGTAGCGGTTCTCAAATTTTAGTAATTGGAGGACCACTTTAATTCTCGCGGAATACTTTGTAGCGGTTCTCAAACTTTAGTAATTGGAGGACCACTTTAATTCTCGCGGAATACCTCGTAGCGGTTCTCAAATTTTAGTAATTGGAGGACCACTTTAATTCTCGCGGAATACTTTGTAGCGGTTCTCAAACTTTAGTAATTGGAGGACCACTTTAATTCTCGCGGAATACCTCGTAGCGGTTCTCAAACTTTAGTAACCGAGGGTTCCTTTTAATTTGAATTTTTTTCGCGACCCCCCCCAAACTTATCGATTTTTTTTTTTTGAAAAACGACGACAACATTTCGTGTACGTGAAAAGCTATATTCTAAAATTAAACGTTTTAATTCATATGAACTTAATTTATTGAAAACAAATGTTTTTTTTTTGTTCTATAACTCGTATATTCTAAATATGTTTCGGACATGACTCACGGATCCCAGTTTGAGAAACGCTGCCTTAATAGGTTTGTTTATTTTTTGAATTTTGCACAAAGCTACACGAGAGCTATCTGTGATAGCCGTCCCCAATTTAGCAGTGTGAGACTAGAGAGAAAGCAGTTAGTCATCATCATCCACCGCCAACTCTTGGGCTACTCCTTTAACAACGAATAGTGGGATTGACCGTCACATTATAATGCCCCCACGGCTGAAAGGGCGAGCATGTTTGGTGGGATGGGGATTCGAACCCGCGTCCAGAAAACAATTTTTTGTCTGTTTGTTGTTAAATGTAGAGCCACACAAAAGAAAGGGTTGGGCTATTCGTGTTGTGCTCATCGCAGGTATCGCAACCTGTTTGTTAGCGTTATAAGCCCTCAGACTTTCCACCGGTTGGGGGGGGGGGGGTGCAAAACAGAAACGGGAGAATTTGTATTCGCAAACTACACCTTCACAAAACCCAGGATTCAGTAGAAATTTTAATCATGTAAATCAGTAAGACGTGCGCATGCCATGAATCACGAGAAGAATTATGTACTCTGTAAGCTACAACACAGCATGACATATGAACTTGGAAAGCAAGAAATAAAAAAATATTTGTTACTCTTAATTTTGGTTTTTACTTACTCTTGAAACAGAACACTTTCGGAGTTCCTGCGAAAGTACATCTAGTATATATATATATATATATATAAAGTTTAACATTTGGAGACTTGTCAAGACCATTAGTCAAGTGGTTTTACACTTTAAGTTTCCCCCAGTAGGGTTAGTGATACGTGTATATTCTGAATGAATATGACGTATATATTACTAACAACGAATTACAATAAAACGTTTTGCGGATCGTGGGCTCGAATCCCCGTCACATCAAACATGCTCGCCCTTTCAGCCGTGGGGACGTTATATTGTGACGGTCAATCCCACTATTCGTTGGTAAAAGAGTAGACCAAGAGTTGGCAGTGGGTGGTGATGACTAGCTGCCTTCCCCCTAGTCTTACACTTCTAAATTAGGGACGGCTAGCGCACATAGCCCTCGTGTAGCTTTGCGCTTAACAACAAACAGAGAAAATTAGAGACGATTATGCCCAGATAGCCCTTTGTGTAATTAAAAAAAACTCCAACGTTTCAAACATGCACAATAATTTATTGTATAAAGTTAAAAGCAAGAACTAAAAGCTAAAATACCTCTATAGGTTTCGGTGTTACATGTTCATTTTTTTCATTTTTCTCACCATGTGGCAGCACTTCCATATTTATTTTATTTGGGGCTCCATTGATACTGAAGATTCATTGCGAAAATATGAAGTTCTGGTCTTAACTTCTGTTTTTGTTTCGCGCGTGTGTGGGAGGTGAGGGTGGGGGGGGGGAGAGATAAGAGTGTGAAACGAAATGTTATACGTGTTGTTTTATATGAGAGTTAAAATAATTTTCTTCGTCTGCTGCCTGAAGACGTAACCCAGTAAGAGTGTTAATAGTTTTAATCTGTTAGTTCTTAGTCGGCATAAATTGGTGTTTTGTTTTAAATAACCTGCCAAATAGTTTTTCACACTTTAAACTCAGGAAACGGCAGCTTATTAATTTGTTTTTCTAAAATCTCGAAAGTGAATGAATAAGTGAAATAAAATAGCATAAAATTAGTTGTTGTTTTTTTATGTTAGATTTGGAAGACAATTTTTCTTTAGAGCTAATTAAGTTTCTGTTATTTTTTCGATAGTAGTAGAGAGAAAAGTAATGTAAATACTCGTATAATTTATTTAAACCATACAGTTAGTTCAGAATGGAGAAGGTTCAGTTTTAGTCTTTCAAGTTAAGTTCCGGTTTCTAGCGTTGTAAGTCCGCAGACATGCCGCTGTGCCGCTTGGGGAGCTCGCGCAAAGCTACTCGAGGGCTGTATGCACTATCTGTGGATTATTTGTTCCTCGTGCAATATTTTGAACAGATATTTTTTTTTACCAAATAATACAAAGTTTTATTGTGTTTTATAATTTAGCAAAATAGCTATTGTCAAGTTATTGAAACTGTTTGGAGGGGGGCAAAAATTCAATTTACCCATTGGTAGAGGTTGAAAATTTCCAGAATACGATTCCAAAAGCAAATATGGCGTTCCTTAGTTACTGAGCGGTAATTGTGAGGGCCTATAAAGCTAAAAATCGGGTTTCGAGCCCATCTTGCATCTAAGGGCTTGACAGCAAACAAACTGTGTTACTAAACCTGAAGATTTCCAGAATACGATTCCAAATATGGCGTTCCTTAATTACTGAGCGGTAATTATGAGGGCCTATAAAGCTAAAAAATCGGGTTTCGATTTCCGCGAGAGGCAAAGCACAGAGCCCATCTTCCATCTAAGGGCTTGACAACAAACAAACCGTGTTACTAAACCTGAAGATTTCCAGAATACGATTCCAAATATGGCGTTCCTTAGTTACTGAGCGGTAATTGTGAGGGCCTATAAAGCTAAAAATCGGGTTTCGAGCCCATCTTGCATCTAAGGGCTTGACAGCAAACAAACTGTCTTACTAAACCTGAAGATTTTCCTTTCCCCATTTCTTCTTCTTTTTTTTTAATGGTTCGTGGTGTTTTGCAGAAAGTAAAGTTCCTGTCATTTTTTTTTTATATTATAAGTAATAAAATAGTACATTTGAGTCTTCAGTTCTTGACAAGTAGAAAACCGTGACGAAATTGTCAACAAACACGAGCACCATCTAACGGCTAGGAATATAACTTCTTCAGTATCTTCATTTTGATTGCTTACAGAACCAGAAAATAATTTCCTGGTGTTCAATTTGTGTTATATTGATTAGTTAAAAGTTTCTTTAATTAAACACACTAGTTTACTCTGCGTTAACTTATCAAGTTAGAACTGAAAGTGTATCGTGATGCAAAGAAAGCCTTATATTTGAATATTGTTTCGTTTATCTGTAATAGTTGTGGTTAGGGGGCGCTCGACTCGCAATCTGCTGGTTAGAATCCCCGTCCCACCAAACATGCTCGCCCTTTCAGCCGTGTGGGCGTTATAATGTTACGGTCAATCTCACTATTCGTCGGTAAAAGAGTAGCCCAAGAGTTGGCGGTGGGTGTTGATGACTAGCTGCCTTCCCTCTAGTCTTACACTGCTAAATTAGGGACGTCTAGCGCAGATAGCCCTCGTGTAGCTTTCATAACAAACCAAACTGTTATAGTAAGTTAAGATGGTTAACTAACTGTCTCCGTATTTTCGTACTTTACTACCAGGTCATGACTGTCTTCAGGTAGGATCTACACGTTGGAAACCCAACAGCATGGACTGGTCTGTCACACGAGAACCGACTTGGAGTTTACTTCCTAAATTGACGTCATATCCTGGCGGTGTTGGATATACGTCATGGGATTTCCGAGGACACGGATGTCGAAGAACCCATCAATACACCGCGAGACAGGTTCGAAGTATCATTTTGTGTGCTATGTGTTCAGTGTACGTGTTTGTAAGTGTTATATGGACCGTAGCTGCTCGAGAGGACCTAAACATCCATTCAGCTTACACAACTTTCAACGAGAGCGTGAACTTCACGCATCTCGTGGTAGATCGTGACACGGGACGAGTGTACGTAGGAGCTACCAACTGGCTCTATCAGTTTAACAGCTCTCTGGAATTAGAGTTGGAGGTCAGGACAGGGCCTGTAAAGGACAGCATCCAATGTTCTCCATCCGACTGTCTTCACCAAAAAAAAGTAGATACCACTAACGTCAATAAAGTCCTAGTCATCGACAGTCAGGCCAACAAATTAATTGTCTGTGGTAGCGTCCACCAGGGAGCCTGCCGCCGTCACGAGCTCGGGAACATTGCCAGCGCCGAGGAACTAGTTCCTGTTCCAGTAGCAGCCAACGATGAGAACTCTTCTACATACGCCTTTATTGGTCCTGCCCAATATTTCGGTTACCCCTCCAGGGTTCTATATGTGGCAACAACCAACAGCCGCCTGGGGCCTTACCGAGACATGGTCCCTGCCATCACTAGTAGAAGCCTTGAAGAGGGCAATGGCCGCCTATTTGGGATCATTGAAAAGTCTTTTTCCACCATTGCCAGGGTGGATATTAGCTCTCACCTGAGGGACTATTACCTGGTGAACTACATCTACGGCTTCCACTCAGGAGGTTTTATTTACTTCGCCACAGTGCAGAGGAAATCTCACTTGAGGGCGCTTGAGGAGTGGGGCTACGTAACAAGGCTGACCCGAGTATGTGCATCCGATGCCGGATACAATACGTATACCGAAGTAACGTTGCAGTGTGTCCGAAAAGATGGTGTTAACTTTAACTTGCTCCAGGATGCCGTTGTTGGTCCAGCGGGTTCCGATCTTGCGGCAGCTCTTCATATAGAAACGGGAGCCGATGTTTTCATTGGTGTGTTCACATCCAGTCCTGACCACACCACTTTGACCTCTCCCCCATCTGCTTTGTGTGTTTACTCTCTGGCCGAAATAGAGCAACGTTTTACAGAAAACATCCACATGTGTTATAATGGTAGTGTGGTCACTCGCAATATGGATTACATAGCCGGCAGTATCGTGGATTGTCCAGAACCTGGGGTAAGTATAGATAGTGTAGTAAGTACTATGTGTTT